AGTTGATAATTTAAAATTTAAAATTTAAATTAAAAGTGAAAATATAAATTTATTGTCATTTTGATAACTAATAATAATAATAATAATAATAATAAAAAAGATACATCCAATATGTTTGCGTGGCATGATTGCTGCCAAATTTTCATCTCTGATAATTACTCGTTGAAAAACAGCTCATGAAAAAAAGGTAAAAAAGTAAGGGCAAAATTGAGATTTCATAAGGGCAGGTAAAATGGAACCAAATAGAGAACTCAACTACCGTACGACGACTCACAGAATACGCTTCGTGAGCCCTCCCTTTTCTTTCTCATTTCTCTCCTTTTCCCCACAAACAACCAATTAGTATACTAACCCTAAAATCAAAGACCTGATCTTTACCTTTTCGATTTCAAATTGAGCAAATAATTAGTGTTTCTGCTTCATTTCTAGCCCTAATCCCGTCCCAGATTGACCTCCGCATCATTCGATCGAGACTATCTTATTCGCAAGCTTCAAAGGCTCAAACTTGCAGGCACGTTTTAGTGAATCAGATTTCGGCTTTAAGTCCAATTGGTGTCCCTTTTGAAGTGGTAATTCGAATTCAGAGCTATATTTCGTTATTTGATAGAAGTTTTTTGCAGAATTGACTGGTTCTGATTCTTTAATTGGTTTACAGATTTTCATTCATTTGCGTGCATGTTGTTCGTCAGCATTTATTTTTAGGTTTGATTTATTGTTTTTTCAGTTTATATTTGCTGAATGCATGTTTTCTCTTCATTTTCTTAAATCAAGGTTTGTGTTTAATCCTACTTGTCTATAAGCCATTGATAAATTGTCTTGTTATTAAGGAGACATGTGGAAAGTAAAGGGAACTAGAAATTTGATGATTTTGTTATTCATTTCTGGGGCCTAAATGAGAAACCCTTTTACCTTTTTGGGACAATGCCACCATTTCTAAACTAAACTTATCACTTTTTTTAGCGTACTTGGTTATTGCAGTAATTGGTACAGGACTGGGCATGTATAAAAGAATTGGGCATGACAATTTACTTGCAAGAAAGTATAGGATGTAATGGAACTGTTGTTTTGTTCTTAGGATGGTTTGAAGGGCTTTTAGAAGTTGGGGAATTGAACAATGGGTGGCAGTGAGTTGGATAAAACTTCAAAAGAGGAGCCAAAGACACAACCTGCTACAAATGCACAGGTATTTTTGCAGTTTATGTGTTCTAAATGTTTCTCTCATATGGGTTCTTGTTATGATTCCTTAATGCATTTGTGTTCCTTAGGAGCAGTCTTCTACCACTAGCACTGGCACAGTTAATGCAGAATGGTCGGGGTTTCAGGTTCTTAAAATTAAGGCCTTTGCTTTAAGTGCTTTTCTTTTGCTTTCATGTTTTTTCTTGAATTATGCGGCTGCTTGTTTTCAAACAGGCTTATTCTCCCATACCTCCACATGGTTTCTTGGCATCAAGTCCCCAAGCGCCTCCATATATGTGGGGGGTTCAGGTATTTTATGTTTTTGAACTGTTAGTCAAAGATGGTTATGTTAATTACGATTATTAAACCCCATAGTCTTGATATTGTTAATCTATTACTTGGTGGAGCATCCATTTTTCAATCAAGGAAGAGACTTGCACCAATATCATTACCATCTCAAAGAAGAATACTCAATTAGTTGATTAATGATAAAATTTCATTTGTGGTTTTTTATTTTGAGGCAGGGAGCTTGGGTTTGGGAGTGAATAGTGGATAGGATCTTGTTCATCTGAAAATTGAAATGATCTTCTTTGCAATTGGTAAAGATCTAATGTGAAATTTCTTTTTGCAGCATATTATGCCTCCCTATGGTACCCCACCCCATCCTTATGTTGCGATGTATCCTCATGGTGTATATGCACATCCATCCATTCCTCCAGTATGTTCTTGTCGACTATTATTACAGTTTCTGTTTGTCACATTATCCTTATATCTCTGTTACTATATCTGACTTTTTGAGATTTTCTTATCTCAAGCAGGGATCATATCCTTTTAGTCCTTTTGCCATGCATTCTCCAAATGGCATTGCTGAGGCTTCTGTGAGTTCCCTATCTTACTGTACCATATAGTTGTTTTTAACAAGAATGCTTCCTTTTGTTTATGCCTGGTTTATGCTAAATTTCAAGCATTCATGTAGGGAAATACTCCTGGAAGCATGGAAACAGATGTCAAGCCATCTGAAGTGAAAGATAAATTGCCAATTAAAAGATCAAAAGGAAGTTTAGGTAGTTTGAACATGATTACAGGAAAGAACAATGAGCTTGGTAAAACATCAGGGACATCTGCGAATGGAGGTTATTCTAAAAGGTATGGTGGAAGCCACTTGCATTTTCAGTTCTCATATAAGTTTAGTTAGTTTATGGGGAAAGTCAAGTCATGAGGACTATTGACTTTGCCATTTGATATCCAAGCTGTCATTTGTTGAATCTCTTTATCCATTTATATTGGGGTTATTTGATGAAATGAAGAAAGGAAAAAAAGGGTGCTAGGGAAAAAAGCTATTGGAAGTACTAGGACCTCATTTTGTTTTTTCAGATATTTAGGTGCTTAATTAAAACATAAAGAGATGCCCTTTAGTGAAGAATCTCTCTCCTATTTCTTTTCCACTCCATGTATCCTGTCTTCGTATGCAATGCTTTTACCTGTTGCTTAGTCATATTTTAAAGCTCACTTTGGAATAATTCTGGATATACAGTGCTGAAAGTGGAAGTGAAGGTACAAGTGAAGGAAGTGATGCAAACTCTGAGAATGTAAGTGTAATACTGTTTGATTTGTTTCTTTATTGTCTTTTCAATTATATTTCCTTTTCTTTAGGTATGTTCTCACACCCTATAGGTGTGGAAGGTTTTGAAGTGACCCATGACCCTACAAGGATTATGCTTCTTTGGATTAACGCTTTCTTGTAATAAAAAATTACTCAGTTATATGTTTAATTATTTTTCTTGGGAGTTTTATAAGAGCTGTTTCTGTTTCCTTCTCTTTATCTGTGAAAATGCACGTGGTCTTTGAAATTTTGGGTATATAATCAGTTTTGTCTGGTGCAAGTGCCTTATGTCTCTCCTTCCATTTTCATGGCTCTTCTAATAATAACGGAAAACATTCGCAGCTTGTCCCATTATTCTTTTAGGTAAATATCATGTCATCACTCTTAATTTCTCTGGTCTCTGTAGGATTCACAATTGAAGTCAGGAGGCAGGCAAAATTCTATGGAAGGTTTGATAATAACTCTGTCTTAATTTCCTTTTATTATGCTTTCAGTTTGTTGCTAGTGATGCACATTAGACATTACTGAGGGGTTCAATAATGTCTGTTGCATCAGAAGCATCTCAGAATGGGAACTCTGCACATGGTCGTCAAAATGGTGGGCCAAACACATCTCATTCTATAGTTAACAAAACAATATCTATTGTACTTATATCAAGTACTGGTGCTGCTGCAGCTGTCCCAGGTCCTGCAACAAACTTGCATATTGGAATGGATTATTGGGGTGCTCCTGCTTCATCTGGCATCCCTGCAATTCGTGGTAAGGTTCCTTCTACTCCGGTGGCAGGAGGGATTGTTACTGCTGGATCACGAGACAATCTTCAGTCACAGCCTTGGTTACAGGTTTTTCCTCTTCCTCCTGTCCATTTATTTGAAAATAATATTGCTTATGCTGCGAATCTCCAAGGAGGCAAAATCTTTATACCCTTGTCCACTTAATTGTAGAATTTGAAATTAAACTCACTAGATTTATGTATTACCATCATGGTTTCTCTGAACTCTGACTTGCAAAAGGATGCCCCTGTTGATGAACTCTTTAAATTCTTTTCTTCTGCTGACTTGTTAAGCGATGCCCTTGCAAGCTCTAATAATTTTGTGTTCTATGTTGATGTATTCCAGATCTCTTTGCTAATGTGGATTAAAAAAACATGTCGGGTTTAAACCTTGATTTTGTGTTGTTTCATATTTGATTGGACCAAATCTGTTTTGATGGACTTAGGATGAAAGAGAGCTTAAAAGACAGAGAAGGAAGCAGTCAAATAGAGAGTCTGCTCGCAGGTCCAGGTTGCGTAAACAGGTAATGAAGAGCCTATTAGAATTTCCTGATGTTGTTTGGTTATCTTGCATTACATTCCCCCCAGATGATTTACTGGGTTTATCCTTGCTTTTGGCTCAGGCAGAATGTGATGAGCTGGCTCAGCGCGCTGATGCCTTAAAAGAAGAGAATGCCAATCTTAGATCAGAAGTAAGTCGGATTAAGAGTGAGTATGAGCAGCTGCTTGCTGAGAATGCCTCTTTGAAGGTAATGTTCTGGACTTCATGTTTGTGCAAAATTTACTTTCTGCTATGAACTTGGAAATGATCCTCCTGGTTTTACAATTCTGCTTTCCTGTGAATGTAAAATGCTACAATCTGTCGAAACAAGAGGTTACCTGCATGGGTTGAAACATGCCTGTGTATCCATGCTTTTTGTTTCCCCACAAAAATGAAAAGCACCTGTTTGCTAGAAATTGCTTTCTAACAGCTTATCAAAATTGCAGGAGAGGGTAGGGGAACTTCCCGGGCATGAAGATGTCAAGTCTGGCAAAGATGACCAGCATTTGAGCAATGATGGACAGGCAGAGGTTGTGCAGGGTAGTAGTCACTAGGATTTCCCTATCCTAGTTCATGTTGTTGTCCAGGAGCATAGTCTAACCAGAATTAGCTGCAGGAAAAGGTTGCTATTCTGCACTGCCTGTTTTGATTTTATGAAAACTGACCTTGATAGTGTTAGGATCCAATTCTCAGATCCATGATCTGGCCTATGGTTTTTTATTCAAAGCCTTGGGGAAAGTATGTACACTGAAATTATGTCATGCCCTTCTCTGTTTAAACGAGGGTGTATGCACAAGTTAGTTTTTAAGCTTGTTTGCTTGAAATACAGTTGATGAATATGTATTTGGGTGAATTCAATATATTGAATTGAACTGATATCCTTAATAACTCTCCCTTTTTCTTTTTATGAAATTAATACTTCTTTTTTCTATTTTTGCACCGTGTATATTAAACTGATATCTTATATTTTATATAAAAAAAAGAATACCAATAAAATATTACTATTTTAATTTAATATATGATTAAAAAACATTTTGATACCATGTTATGTCCCATGTCAGACCCGAGTATCCTAATCCGACCATTCCTACACCCGATTCATCCGACTGCTTGACCCATCAAACAATATGTCGGCATCTGGTCGAGTGATCCAACGGCCAGCAAGTGCCACGTGGCTAGAAGACGAGAATCTATCAAGATTCATCTAACGGCTAATATAGGCACAATGCAAATGAACAAATTAAGGAGCGGTGCTAGTTTGAAGGAGAGGATAAGGGATGAGCAAAGAGAAATGTGGGGTGGGGCTGGTGCTATTGGGTTGGAGGAGAAAAGACAACGTTGAAAGTTCTGATGGCAGAAGGATGGGAAGGATTATATAGCAGTGAGATCAAGGGACTTGCTTTCGAGATTTGGAAAGGTTGAGGATGTTGTGAATAAAGAACTCAAAGACGAGGGGGTCTGTACTTGTTGTGATTGATTTTTTTTTTTTTTTTGACAAGAACAATACTCAGAAATTAAAAGTTAAGTTAGTATTTTGTTTTTGGCAAAATTCGATTACTGATCAAAGAACAATCCATCAATAATTTTATTGAACTGCAGTGATCACCAATAAATCACAACAGAGGAATGCGATTGATTGGTTCTATGGAAACAGCTGTAAGTTTGTTTCTCTTCTGTGTGGTTTTAGTTAGTACACGATATACTGCTGTACAAATCCCTGCAGCTTCCTTGACCAGGCCTGAACAGTCCTGCAAGATAGGTTTGAGGGTTTCTTTCTTCAGTGCTTAAAGTCAGCAATATTCTATTTCTCAAAAAAAAAAAAAAGTCAGCAATATTCTAGTATATTAATTCTTGGAGAGAGTTAAGTATTAATTAATTATAACGAGAGTGTGTCCATATTTTGTAAAGGGATATAATTAAAGAATATTTATGGTTTCTTGGCTAACAATTAAGATTCACGTGATTTAATTTTGACAATTTAAATATTATTTATTTAAATTAAAATTGAGTAAATTTAGAGATTTATTCAAATAACCATGTTATTGTAATTTTAATTTAATTTAATTGCTAAGGTCAATGCCTCGATCAGAGAAGAAGGCTCCACCATAATTAAGGTATTTAACATGATTATTTTATAATTGATGTTGGTTTTAAAAATTAAGGCTATGCTTAGACGGCCTTGTTATTTAGCTAGACTTTTTGGGTTAGGTTCACCTTTTTTCCTTGAAGAGGAATGCTAGCTGCACTTGCCTTTCTCCAGCACTCTCCAACACTCTCTCATGTAAAATGTCCACGTAACAAAAATTGGCTCGGAATTCAAAGTTTCCAACTAGAAAAGTTCACGTGGCTATTTTAGATGAGGGAGTGTTGGAGAGTGGCAGAAAGGCGAGTGCAGCTAGCATTCCTCTCTTTTTTTTTTTTTTTTGACAACGATAATGATTAGAAAGTTAGTAGAGTTAATTTGTTAGCAACTAGGATTTTTCAGAATGGTCAACATTCCATCCTCTCATATGAGGCGTGCGGCCATTAAATCACAAGTTAATGGAGTTTACGACAGTGACAGAACTCGAAATCTTAACCCCTACCTCATCTAAGTCCTAAAGCTTGGGACAAACAATTGGGTCTCAGTGCGGTTGGTAGCATTCCTCTTTCCTTGAAAGGTTGGCTCATGCGTCGGGAAAGAAAAAATGGTTGTTCTGTCCTTTTTATGGATTAAAAAATACTTATTAGTTGTAAGTGTTAAATTTTAATCCTAAATCGATATGAACTGCCTAGTAATAGAGATACAAAATAATAGTATATGATTCCATGTGAAACAAAGATGCTCATAATTTTATGGTTTCGGTAACACCCAATCTTGAATACTAAAGTTTTTTGTATCCTTTTTTTATTTTAAGAAATGATGGAGATACAATAATTTTAAAAATATAAAGAGAAGGCTTAAAAAACAGATTTTAAATATAACAAATTGTATAATATTGACTCAAAATTACATGATTTTTTTTTTTTATCTTTTATCTTTAAAAAAATTATAGTTCAAAACTTTAACTCTAAATGTGATTTAAAAACACTTAATTATCATCAACGATCTAAATAATATAATAGACATCTCTTTTCGTTTTTCATTGGAAGTAAAAGATTCTAAATTCGAGTTGCATGACATGTAGGTGAAGTGAGATAAAAAATGAGATAAAAAATGAGAGATTGTTACCTCTCATTGTGTAATTAAAATAAAAAAAAAACTTAATTATCATAAATTTGATTCCGAGATTACTAACTCTTCTTATATAAAATCACATTTGATATCATATACATTTTTTTTAATATTTTGTTTATTTTTAATAATTTGAATTTGACTTGTAAATTTTTTAAATATAAATTTTAAATGAACAATAATTGAAATATTTTTATTCTATATAGAGTTGTTATCTAGTATTTTTATTTATTAAAAAATTTTAATTATTATTTATATAATATATTAAATTTTCATATAAATTTTAT